ATCAGTTAAATTGCGTAATAATCATACCCAACCAGCCCAAGTGACAGTTATATGTAAATAACTAAGTAATTGTTGTTTGCTGAAATATTAGTATGCGTACAACATAGGAGCTTGGTTGGGATAAATTGATTGTGCCATAGTGACAACATTGGCTCAGAGCACGGTGTGTACCTGCTGTTGACACTGATTCTGCATACAGCTCAATGAGTTTGCCGCAGCGTGTGCTGATGGTGTGTTTCCGTTCCACGCGGCTGCCTCTCTGGCCTCCTTGTCTATCTCTCTTTTAATCTGAGGCAGCTGCCTGGGGACTCCACGGTGCCACTGAGTGTCTTCACAATGACTTTAAAAATAAGAGGCAAATATATAAATAGAAGCGGACATATGGTGCGCCCAATCACTGACAGCTCGCTGAGATCACAACTTATTAGCCGGGGTCTACTTTACTTTCCAATATAGCCGGTGGAGAGGAGAGGAGCGGGAGACGTGCTAATGCAGAAAAAAAATCACCCACTCTCTCTTCAGAAAAGGTTCAACTCGGAAATGTACCTGCTGCCAGGGGGAAAATATACAGACTGTATAACTCATTCAAATAATAGTTAACTGTTTCCTTGCAAGGTGTTTGGATGTTTGTTAGGACTAAATATAACCTTTCAAAGTTTATTTTAAGTCTTCTGGGCAAGTGCAGCTCAAGTCGTTTGATGCTGATGAGACTTTAATCCAGTGATTTGTGGATTTTTCAAACTGTTCTTGGGAATCAGTGAGTGGAAACTGTAATCTCCTAATGTCCAGGGTTACTTCCTTTGCACAACGCACATGTAAAATTTGTGTGAATATTGAGAGCTTAAAAAATAATTTTCAGATTCACCTGTTCATAATGCAGCTGTTCACACTGACCGCTGGACAAATTTAGGCATTAACCAATCAGATTGGTCAGATCATCAATCTTTTGGCACACACATAGATCATCATTGCTTTATTTTGACTTTGTTTGTTTCCCAGTGCATTTTTGGAAAATAAATTTTTTGAAAAAAATGCTTTTGTTGTGTATATACATCACATATACATTAAATAAAAGTACTACATGAACTGTTTAGGAATTATGAACACTTTATGTAGGAGATATTTTTAAAATTATGCTGGTTTTTCCAATTATTTTTCTGCTCCTAAAACCAAGACCAGAAGGCAGTACATCACTCTCCGTCATGTTTAACCCCTTCCTTCCTTGTGTTTACAGGTGGGCGTATTGACCAGGCTCACCATGCTGGGCGGGCCTCCATGGCCCTGCATGAGGCGGTTGCTTTTGACCGTGCTATCGCTAAGGGCCTCGAACTCACTCAAGAGCATGAAACTCTCACTGTAGTGATGGCTGACCACTCTCAGCCTCTTACCTTCAATGGCTTCCCCTTTCGTGGGAACAGCATTCTGGGTAATTATTAACAGAACTGCAATTCATTCATCTAAAAAAAAAAAATCCTGCTGAAAAAAATGCTTAAAAAGAATTTAGATTTTTTTTAATCGTCAGTGTATCAGTAAGTTAAACTTTCTCCACAATTCTTTCTTTTTTCCCCCTCAAACCTTTACTCTGTGCCTCCATCCCCCCCTCCAGGTGTGTTTAGCCACTATGACAATAGACACCTGCGGCAGCATTTGTGCCTGTTGTGTGTGTGTGTGTGTGTGTGCGATGCCTCTCAGTGCCTGTATCCTCACAGCTTCAGTGTGCTTCTGCCACCAGCAGCTTGACATTTCATCTGCTGTCTCTCCCTGCAATTACAGCCAGGGTAAACACACATTACTGGCAGCCTTTCTCCTGCTTGCCTTTCTATTTCAGTCCCCTGCTTTCTCCCTCTTCTGTCTTCCATTTACCATCTACAACACTGATGACACCGTCTCTTCTACCTTTTTTCCTTCTAAGTTCTCAATCTCTTTCACCAGTTAATCTCCCTTTAAAGGGCTTTCCTATTGATCTTATGTGCTCCTTACCTCTTCAACTCTCTCTCCTCTTGCTCACCTTTCTGTTTTATTTAAGGTTTTAGACCTGAAAGATGTCCTTGTTTTCATAAAAAGTTTGACTTACCACAGAATAAATTTTTTTACAGATGTATATAATAAAGATGAAGAGTAGCTGAGTCCCTTTTAGGTGCATCACTCAAGTGGTTAACTATTAAACTGTGTATCTACTCAGTAGATATTTTGTTTCCAAAAATGTATCAGCTCCAGAAACAAAACATGTGGGAATCATAACCCCTCCACCTGCTGTGTTTGGTTTTCTCCAAATGTGGTGCTGTGCATTTCAGTCAGACTTTGATCTCGCCTGTCCAAAGGACATTGTTCCAGATCTTTAGTTTGTTCAGACACAACTTTACAAAGCTCAGCTGCTGCCATTTTCTTTTTATTAAAAAGAGGTTTTCTGCTGGTAATTATTCCAATCAGGCATACTTATGAAGTCTTTTTCTGATTGTACTGTCATCAACTTTGAATACTATGGTCTGAAGAGGTGAGATGTAGTTCTTGAGCTTTCTTCTTATTTTTGTTTTTTGAAATTTCTGTGAGGATTGCTGTCTGAACTCAGGGTGAATTTCCTGGGAAAATGGACAACTGTCTTGAATGTTTTCCACTTGTGAATAATCTTTCTCACTGTAGAAGATGGACTTCTGTCATGGTGTGCTGTGTGCAGGCAGGAGAACAGGACCCAAACGCTGGACTCACAGTGAACTAAAAGAGGCAGCTTTATTCCACTGTGGCAGAAACAGACCTAAACTGAAAACACAAAGCTAATAACAAACACTAGGAAAACCTAAAGACGAGAGACTGGGAGCACAAAAGAAAAACACACAGCAAATTGAGGATACGACGCGACGCTGAACACTGGAGGACACACATATTATAAATACACATGAGGGAACGAGGAACAGGTGGGAACACAGCCGGGAGAAATTAGAGCTAACGAGACAGAGGAAACGAAACTGGAACACTGACATAAGACATAAACCTTCAAAATAAAACAGGAAATCCACAGACTCAACTCAGAGACAACTCCGACAAAGACCGGGGGAACACAGAGTACAGGGACCAGAGTGACATGAGGAGCAGAGGAATACACAAGCTAAGAAACACAGAACAGAAACACCAGTAGTCATAAACCATGAACCAAAAGGAAAACAGACTAATAAACAACAATACAAAATCAAGACACTGGGCCACTGACCCAGGACCATAACGACTTCAAATAGTTTAGAAAGGATTTTGTAACCCAGATTGATGAGCAGAAATGAAAAAGATCATTGCTGATGTCTATCCTCCATGACGTTGTGGTAACGCACACCCAAATGCTTTAGACCAGCAAATTTCCCAAACTGCTTTAATTTAGGTCGATTGAGGAATGAAATATGCAGCCTGTTGTAGTGAAATCGCACACAAAGATTGTGATAAATTTGAGGTCTAGAATCATCCCAGCATTGGTGTCGTGTCTACTGTAACTAGTATGCGAGCTGGAGCAAAACGTCTTGGACGGTCTCACATAAGTCAATATGTAGTAAGATGATCCCAAAAGGTACTGATGGCACACACAACACTGAGGAATGGAGTTCAGTGACTCCTCTTTATGAAAGTGAAGTCCAGCAGACAGTGATCAGTTAGGGCAGCCTGTGCCAGACGTCTGTCAGTCAAAACAGCTACGCCTCTGACTGCAGTATTCAGATGGATGAGCTCTGCAAAAACCCACAATCTGTAATTGGGAAAGGGAAAACCTATCCAGAGGAAAACTGTCCAGAGAGTTGCCAAGAGTAGACAGAGAGAGCCAAAAACTTTTTCTTTTTAATGTTTCACTGTTCTAACAAAAAAAAAGTTTCATCCTCAAGGAACTGCCGCTGTTTGGGACTTTGTTTCTCAGGCCTGGAGGCTGCTCCTCCTTCTCTCCATTTGTTACCAGTCATATTATCACTGTACTGTATCACTATCAGTCTTCAGAGTCTGTATTGATTGATCTGTGGTCGTGTCATGCTTTTCACACCTTTGCGCTCCCTCTTTCCTTTTCCTTTTTTACCCTCTTCCTCGTCCTCCCAGCGGTGCAGCAGTGCAGCAGTGATTAATGTGACTCTGAAACTCTGAGCTCTTCATCAGCGGGGAGACTCGCCAGGCTAATGGCTCATCTGGAGAGAAACGCTGAGATCGTCAACAAGCTCTAGACCTCCCGCAGCACCCTTGGGATCAAGCAATCCCTCCTCGCACTTGTGTTTGTGTGCGCATGATGTGTGTTTTTGTTTGTTTAGCACTCCGAGGCAGAAAGAAACAGCAGAAAAAAATAGAAAGATAAATCAAAAATAATGTTTGTGTCTTCCAGGTAAATCTCCACTGTGGGCAAGTGACATGTTGCCTTATACCACGCTCATGTATGGCAATGGACCCGGGCACAAAATCGTTAATGGCACACGCCCTGACATCCGCAATGTTGACACCAGTAAGACCCAGTCATTACTTCGTTGTTTCACAGAATTCACTACGTTAGATCTACTACCATGCTCCACTCAGGCGCTGATATCATTCATCAAACCAGTTTTAAGTGTAAATGGGGTCTAATGTTCTTTGAAAGGACTAATCATTTGTACTCTATCCTTATCTTCTCCAGAATCTAAAGACTACATCCAGCAGGCAGCTGTCCCCGTAGATACAACAACCCACAGTGGAGAGGATGTGGCAGTGCTGGCCCGTGGACCCATGGCCCACCTCTTCCAGGGTGTCAACGAGCAGAACTATATTGCCCATGCCATGGGCTACGCTGCCTGCGTGGGTGCTGACCTAAGGCACTGTGAGGGGCAGACTACACCACCTTTGGTTCACATAACCCTTGAATATAACAAGAACGGGGCCGGAGCAGTTAGTGCCTCAGCAGCTTTGCTCGGTAACTTCCTGAGCGTGCTGTTGGCCATCACAGTCCTCATGTAAGAGGTCAGCATCATAAAACAGTGCGAATGGGTTCTGTGATTTGCTCAAGGACACTTCAACACGGATGTGTTGGTTTCTTGCACCAGGGTTATCTTGCAGCCTGCAAAGCGTCGTGATCGGACAGAGTGAATCAAGTCACAGAAATCATTAACTGACACGAGGACTGTCACTCCCGCAGTGACTGTAAAGAATTATTATGAAATGTAAGCTCATCAAACGTCTACACTGGCAGTCTGTTGAATCCCTGGGCTATACCAATAAAGCAGTCCTTTCCTAGAGAGTTGGCTTGCCAGTTTATTGATCTAAATTATTTAAACATACCAACGATCTCATTTGTTGACATTTTTGGCTTTATCAGAATGACAAATCTTCATTATCTGACCTTGTTTCCACAGTAAAACAAAGAAAAACAATCCCTCTGCCACATTTACATACACACGAGTGAAAGCTTTAAGAACAAAGTGAACAAAGCTGATATTTTTTGCATTATATTTCACATTTTTAAACGTGCTACGGATCATAACTGGCAGCATAATTAAAGAAACAAGTCTACATTTTGGCAAAATGTGCTAAATGGCATCCTTGCTAAAGGAGTCAGATGAATTTGTGTAGAGGCTAAAACAAAACAAACAAACACATTACTGAAACTAGCCTTGCTATCAGCCTTAGTGCTAAGCTAATGAAATCTTCTGCTGACTTTAGCTTCTCTCATCTAATTCTTGGCTGAAAGAGGAAACACGTATATCTCTTAAAAATATGAAACTGTTCCTTTCACCTAAGTTCATATTTGTGACAAATGATCCATACATGTATTTACTGAAACTTCAAAATAAAATGGTTATTTTACACTTTACAAGCACTTTCTGTGAAATAAAAAATGGACCGTGATGTCACTCATTGTTGAGTGAGCTTCTGTCTAACTAACATGAATTTGGGTTTGATGAGCGACAGTGGAGTGGACAGGTGGAGCTATCTAAGAAATCTAGGAACGCTGCATGCTCATATAGTAGCAATTTGCCAGTAGTGATGGGATTTCCGGCTCTTTTTAGAGAACCGGCTCTTTCGGCTCCCAACCGACTCTTCAGGTTGTTTTGTTGCTTTAATGAATTTATTATTAACAACAATATAAAATTATGCACAATAGGAATTACTAATGTAAAAGAAGGGTTTTTATTTATCTATGTTTATATATAAATATATGCAGTGGCCCCTAGAGACAAAGCACGTACAAACTCCAAAGCACATTTCTAGCGTTAACTGAACTTCCAAAACAGAGCTACTTAAATTACACAATTGAAAGCATGTGTGTATTGTTTGAGTATTTATACACAAGCACTCATATATATTCAAATAATTTAAAAAAAAAAATGTTCATTTACCTGTTACTACCACACACCAAATCGTTGGTACTTCCTGGCTTGTGTAGCCACTAGGTAACTAAAGCTCAACACTGCGCCCTAGCATCCTGAATCACTTCTGTTGTGTTTTGTACGTGTTTCGGAGTTTTTACGTGTTTTGGAGTTTGTACGTGCTTTGTCTGTAGGGGCCACCGTAAATATACTTTTATTTATTCACTCCACATAAAATGTAAAAAATAAATCATATAATACAAAAAACAACTATTTACATTTCAACTTTTAACTGTTTAAATTTTCAGCTTTTTCATTTTAAACAAATTTAAAGTGAAACAACACAAAACACTGCAAACCACAACACAATTAAATATAAATTAAAATATGAAAACAAAAAGAATATGCATATTCTCTGTCATATGGACCTGCATAAATAAACTTTCTGAATCCTTTATCATCCGCAACTGAAAATAGTTGTGGATGATTACTATACCTTTCTAATGTGACGTTGTTGTCCCTGGCTCTCTTTCTCTCCCTCCCGCTCTGTTCCTGTGCTACTGCAAGTGTAACTACCGCCCCTCCTCCCTCTTCCCAATGCAAAGCACAAGGCTCGCACGCCACATGAAGTTGAAAAAAGGTGCGAGAGAGAGAGAAAGAAAAATAAACCCCACGGCTCCCGTCGTTCACTTCGTGACCGACACATCACTATTTGCCAGTAACAAAGTAGGTCAGCCCTTAAACACACTGTGCTTTATCCTCCTTTTTGACTCAAACTGGGGCCATAAAATTGCATCATATTGTGTTTAACAAGACTTGAAAATAGAAATTGAGATCATAATCCACCTCTTAAGTATTTACTTACGTCATAGGAAAAAAAAGTAAGGGTATTTTGTCAGATTACTAGAATGTGGCTGCTTTTAGCAGGAGTTGGACCTGTTGGTTGTTATATAGAATGCAGGTTTAAGGTACTTTCACATTGGCTTCACTTTTCAGATCAGGAAGCTACATCAATCTTGGAACTGGTGAGGAAAACGTGTCCATTTGTTGAACCTCATATTTAAGAGGAACATTGCGTTTTCCTGAACATGGAAGAGTGATCCAGCTCTTTTTCCTGATGAATGTATTTCAGGGTGCGTGAGAATGTGCGCAACCAGTTTATATGTGTTTTGTAGAGTTGGACAAAGCATTCGACAGTCTATCACGGTATCCCGTGAGGAGTTTGTGATTATGGGGTATTCTCCCTGTTATTATGGGCTATCTGGTCACTGTACCTTAGTGCGAGCTATTATGAATAGGAAGGCTCCTGAATGCCTTGGGTGTTTCAGACATGTCCAGTTAGAAGCAGCAGACCTAGGAGATAATGTTTCTGGTCTGTTTCTGGCTTTGAACAGCTCAGTATCCCCAATGGATAGCTTTTATTTGCTAACTTCATACAAAGTCCTGTTTACTGCACTTTTGAAAACACATTGTTTGATGAAAACACATCAGACTATTTTCATAATGCTTCTCAAGCATCATGGAGAACTGCATCAGTGTCATCTGTCTTTTCATCTAGTCCCACACCGGCTCTGTGATATTGTGATTCGGTGATCCGGTGTTCTGAGAAACCATCCTACTCTGACAAAACGTCCTACCCGTATTATAATTTGACGGTGACTTGCGATTAAACCTAACCCTACCCTAACCATAACCATAACCAAAACCATAACCTTAAGAAGTATTCCGGATGGGTGAGAGAAAAAGTAGTTAATTTGGCGTTGGTGTTGTGCGCATGCGCCGCGTCTGCGCAGAAACATTGGGTAGGATGTTTTTCCAGGTAGGATGGATTCCCAGAACACCGGGCTTTGTTGTTAAGTGTTTCAAGATTTCTTGTCCTTCCTGTGGGTGGAGATAGTTTTTTGCATTGCTTGGCTGCTGTAGTGTCACAAAATTATTTAAAGACCACAAAGATGTCTATCTTGGTGGTACTGGATATGAATTTAAACATAAGATAATTACTTAGCACTGTATATTCTTACATGTCTTCATATTTACCCATTAAGTCACCAAAGAATCCTGTTACTGTATAGGCCTATTAATCCAGTTCGTAACTAATTTTATAACCTGTTAGGAGAGAAGTCTGAAAATGCCTCCTTCTTCCTTTGATCCTCTCTAACATCCGCAGTGCTAATTGAGGTTTGAGGTGGGTTGGTTTGATGACATTACTACAGCGGTCCATTAATAATGCAAAATATGTAAAGATCACCTATTTTTATCCTTGGGAGACAGATTGCAGTAATTATTTTGGACATCTGTTAGGGTTAGGAGTTTGTGAAACCTGATTTTGACTCTCCCTGTACTCATTTAGACTGGCCCGAGGCCATCATCATTGTTTTAGATGACGGGCCTGCTCTCATCTTTTCCACACGTTCATTAAAGTCATTTGCAGATCACATGGTGGAGAGAAGCTCAACAGCTTGAGAGGCGATGCAAGAGGAAGCGTTTTGTCTTTTGTCTGGAAGTGAGGTTTATTAATGAGTAGAAAGGACATGGCAAACAGGGACAACATTTCCCTTTGCAACATACATTCTCTGATATCATATGTAATGATTACTGTGTGCCAACACTCTATATAAACATTAGATTTGATGAAAAATTTAGACTTATTTAATGGTTTGACTCTGATTTGTATCCATTATTCCTTCTGCACACATACACTCACCATTCATTTTGTAAGGTACACCTAACAAATACATTTAGTGGGTTAATTGGTGATTCTAAATTGCCCATAGGTGTGAATGTTGTCTCTATGTTTTAGCCCTGTGACAGGCTGGCAACTTGTCCAGGGTGTACCCTTGCTCTCATCTATGGTAGCAGGGATAGGCTCCAGCAGAAAATTGATTTAAGTGACTCTGAACGTGCCGTGGTTGACCTAAAAACACGAAAGCATGGATCCATTGTGCCTTATAACAAAGGTTCATGCTGCTTCTGGTATTTTTGGCTGCAAAGCAGCATGAAGCTACACAGCATCAAACCTAAAATTATAGTTTGGTACCAAATTTAAACTGGTTCTGGTGACCTGTCCAAGATGTACCCTGCTGGTCATCCTGTGACCGCTGGAACAGGCTCCAGCACCAGCACTTTCTGCTGTTCTTTATCCCACTTTCATAGCAGGAAAACCAACAAAACTTCATCCAGCATTGATATTCAACTGACATATGAGTGTGTCCCTATCTTCAGCATGTACTCACATTGAGATTTGCAGTTTATATCTTAAGAATAAACCCATGTACACAAACATACACAACACAAAACAAACATATAAAGTCTAAGGACAAGGGGCAGACAGAATTTCTTTATGGACAGAATTTCCCGGCGCGACAGACGGATTGGTATTGCGGGTGCAGTTATGTGGACGCTGCACCGGTCTGCTGTGGTGAAGAGAGAGCTGAGTGCAAAAACAAAGCTCTCAATTTACCGGTCAGTCTACGTCCCTACCCTCACCCATGGTCATGAGCTGACATGGTTGCCTCCTGGACACCTCCTGGGTGAGATGTTCCGGGTATGTCCCACCAGGAGGAGGCCCCAGGGCAGACCCAGGACAAGTTGGAGAGATAATATCTCTCGGCTGGCCTGGGAAAGCCTTGGTGTTCCCCCAGACAAACTGGAGGAGG